AGGCCCAACTTCAAGAGTTGTTAAGTAAAGGTTTTATTAGACCAAGTGCATCCTCTTGGGGTGCTCCGGTGTTATTTGTGAAGAAGAAGGATGGGAGTTTTCGGATATGCATAGACTACCGGTAGTTTAACAAGGTAACTATTAAGAACAAGTATCGCATTCCTCGCATTGATGACTTGTTCGATCAGTTACAAGGTGCTTGTGTTTTCTCTAAGATTGACTTGAGATCCGGGTATCATCAATTGAAAATACGGGCAACGGATGTTCCAAAGACTGCTTTTCGAACCAGGTATGGGCATTACGAATTTGTAGTAATGTCTTTTGGTCTTACGAATGCCCCTGCTGCTTTAATGAGCTTGATGAACGGGATTTTTAAGCCATATCTGGATCTCTTTGTGATCGTATTTATTGATGATATATTGATATACTCTAAGAGTAAGAAGGAACATGAGGAGCATTTGAGAATTGTGTTGGAAGTGTTAAGAGAGAAAAGGCTTTATGCCAAATTCTCCAAGTGTGAGTTTTGGATAGATTCAGTGTCCTTTTTGGGGCACGTGGTTTCTAAGGATGGAGTGATGGTGGATCCTTCTAAGATTGAAACAGTGAGAAATTGGGTAAGACCTACTAATGTGTCAGAAATAAGGAGCTTTGTTGGTTTAGCCAGCTATTACCGTCGATTTGTCAAGGGATTCTCTTCTATTGCTTCCCAATTGACGAACTTGACTAAGCAGAATGCTCCATTTGTATGATCGGATGAATGTGAAGAAAGCTTTCAGAAACTCAAGAACTTGCTGAGTACTGCACCTATCCTTACCTTGCCAGTAGAGGGTAAGAACTTCATTGTTTATTGTGATGCATCCTATTCTGGTCTGGGTGCAGTGCTAATGCAAGAGAAGAATGTAATTGCTTATGCTTCGAGGTAATTAAAGGTGCATGAATGTAACTATCCGACCCACGATTTGGAATTGGCCGCAGTTGTGTTTGCATTAGAGCAATGGAGACATTATCTATATGGGGTCAAGTGTGAAGTCTATACGGATCATCGTAGCCTACATTATGTCTTTACTTAGAGGGATTTGAATTTGAGACAGAGGAAGTGGATGGAACTACTGAAGGATTATGATGTTACCATCTTGTATCACCCAGGAAAGGCTAATGTTGTGGCAGACCCCTTAAGTAGAAAAGCAGGGAGCATGGGTAGTTTAGCCCACTTACAAGTTTCTAGACGCCCATTGGCTAGAAAGGTTCAGACTCTGGCTAATGACCTTGTGAGGTTAGAAGTAAATGAGAAGGGAGGATTTTTGGCCAGTGTGGAGGCGAGATCTTCTTTTCTTGACAAGATCAAGGGAAAACAGTTTGATGATGAGAAACTAAGCCGAATCCGGGATATGGTGTTGCGAGGAGAGGCTAAAGAAGCAATAATTGATGAGGAAGGTGTTTTGAGAATTAAGGGAAGGGTATGTGTGCCCCGTGTTGATGATTTGATCCATACTATTCTTACAGAGTCTCATAGTTTCGGATATTCTATACATCCTGGTGCAACCAAGATGTACTGTGACCTAAAGCAACACTTTAGGTGGAGTAGAATGAAGCGCGACATTGTTGATTTTGTTGACAAATGTCCAAATTGTCAGCATGTAAAGTATGAACACCAGAGGCCCGGAGGAACACTTCAGAGAATGCCCATTCCTGAATGGAAGTGGGAGAGAATTGCAATGGACTTCGTGGTTGGTCTTCCAAAGACATTGGGGAAGTTTGACTCTATTTGGGTAATTATGGACAGATTAACTAAGTCTGCTCACTTCATCCCGGTCAAGGTGACCTACAATGCAGAGAAGTTAGCCAGACTCTACATCTCAGAAATTGTTCGATTGCATGGAGGTCCACTTTCCATCATATCAGATAGAGGTACGCAGTTTACTTCTAAGTTTTGGAGAACATTGCATGCTGAATTAAGTACTAGGTTGGACTTTAGTACTGCATTAAACCCTCAGACCGATGGTCAGTCTGAGCGAACAATTCAGGTGTTGGAAGATATGCTTCGTGCATGTGTGATAGAATTTGGGGGTCATTGGGATAACTTCTTACCCTTAGCGGAGTTTTCATACAATAATAGCTATCACTCAAGTATTGATATGGCTCCTTTCGAAGCATTGTATGGGAGGAGATGTAGGTCTCCCATTGGTTGGTTTTATGCATTTGAGGTAAGACCTAGGGGTACTGATCCTTTAAGGGATTCATTAGAGAAGGTGAAATCTATTCAAGAAAATCTTTTAGCGGCTCAAAGCAGGCAAAAGGAATATGCAGATCGAAAGGTTAGAGACTTGGAGTTCATGGAGGGTGAGCAAGTCTTGCTGAAGATTTCTCCCCTGAAAGGGGTGATGCGGTTTGGTAAAAGTGGTAAGCTAAGCCCAAGGTATATTGGTCCATTTGAAATTCTGAAGCGCGTGAGGGAGGTAGCTTATGAATTGGCCTTGCCCCCAGGACTGTTAGGAGTACATCTGGTATTTCATGTGTCTATGTTGAAAAGATACCATGGGGATGGAAACTACATTATTCGTTGGGATTCAGTTCTGCTTGATGAGAATTTGTCTTATGAGGAGGAGCCTGTTGCTATTTTAGATAGAGAAGTCCGCAAGCTGAGGTCAAGGGAGATTGCATCCATCAAAGTTCAATGGAAGAATCGACCAGTTGAAGAAGCCACTTGAAAGAAGGAGACAGATATGCAAGAAAGATACCCACACCTGTTTACAGATTCAAGTACTACTTTTTCGCCCTTGTTTTTCTTCTTGTGATCGTTCGAGGACAAACGATGGGTAAATTGGTATCTATTGTGATGACCTGTTTAGTCGTTTTGAGCAGTAGAGTATTTTCTGGTAATAACTGTCTGAGTCGACGGATCCCACGACAGACCGTCATGGGCACGACGGACCGTCGAGGGGGGTCTCATTCCAAAACACTTAGAATTCTGAAATTTGGGTACTGAGATCGACTCTCTGAACTTCGTGACGACATGGCAGGACGGACCCTCGTGGGCACGACGGACCGTCACAGACCCTTAGTGAAAATTGAGTCTCTGAACTTTGTGATGGAAGCAGCAGGACGGACCGTCGCAGGCACGACGGGCCGTCACAGGCTGCGTAAACCCTGAGTGGGTCAGATTTCTGTTAAATATTTTAAGGGGCGTTTTGGACTATTCCTGCTTATAATTATAAAGTTAGTGGTTTAATATTAATAATTCAATTACTTGGGGGTTAAAGGAGATAACCTTGGGTTAAATAGGGGGTTAATTTATCATCTTTTATACTTAATTATATGCTAATTAGGGTAAAAGAAAGAGGGTTGGAATAAGAAAAAATAGAAAGAACAAGAGAGGGAGAAACGATCGAGAGAGAGAGGAACGAAGAGGGAAACAACGCTTTGGGGAATTTGCTTGATTGATCACGACTCTTCGGTGGAGCAAACGTACCGTCGTCTTCAACTCAACCGCAACTCTAGCCAGTCTTCATCACGTCGGATCTCAGGGTGATTTAATGCTTCTAGCTTGGACTGGGTCTTCTTCTTCGTGTCTTGATGCCTTTAAGTTCCGGCATGGACTAGCTTTTTATTTATTTTAGCTTCTTAGATACTCTTAGATTTAGTAATTTGAGGATAGATGTTCTTGTGATGATGACTTCCAGATTTTGGGGATAATGATTTATAAATTTTAGAAGTTATTTGATTGATTTCGTTAATGAGTTTTAAGTCTTCCGCATTGTATTTTGTTCATTATGCTTGAAATGGTGAGGTTTAGATTGGTTGGTTCGCTCACATAGTAGGATAAGTGTGGGTGCCACTCGCGGCTCGATTTTTGTCGTGACAATATATTAATTGTCTTTTGGTTCCACTCAATGCCCGATTTAACTCAAGTTGTATAGATATATAAGACCATGGTTAACTTGGTGGCACTTGTGGCACTAAGAATTATGTCGCGCCTAGGGGTTAGCCTCGGGAGAAACTATTGTTGTCATGATGAATGACCTTATAATGCACAAATTTTAATTAATTTATATTCAATAAGAGTACAAACAATGAACAAAAATAATAAAAACAAATAAATTTTAATATACATGTGAAAGACAATTCGAATATATTAACTTTCAACTTTTAACATACTGTATATTCTCTATGTAGGTCAACTAGTCAAATGTCCATTATATATCCTATCCTTAATAATGTATTTCACTTCCTTTCTCATATTTATACAAATTTCTTAAACGGTTGATGATTTGAAAATTTCACATAAATCATTTGTAATATTAAATGATAAATTAAGTTAAGAATATAGTTGATCAATTATTACTAAATAATAAAAATGCATATCAAAGTAAATCTTTTGTATTCATTAGTTTGATGTGAATACACTTAGAGTTTTTTTTTCTGAAAATTTTTATCAGTCAACTTATAATTATAGTTAAAATAATATTTTTGAATATTATTTTATTTTTTTCCCTAAACTAATAGCTAGTCAAATTTCTATTAATTTATCACTCTAATCATACAAACCTAACCCACTAAACACTTATTAAAGGAAAATACTAATTAATTCTTAAGACTAACAACTTGATATTCAGTAACGGCCTATTAACTCGGTCACTCACACCCCTCTTTTTATTAAGTGGAAATAATAATGAAAATGGGTCAGATCAAGCGTCGATGGAATCCTGGAGAGGATGAACTATTAAAGAAGCTCATAGAGGAACATGGAGCAAAGAACTGGTCGTTTATATGCCAATTGATTCCTAGTCGAACTGAAAAATCGTGTAGGGAGTTTTGGTGCGATCATCTTAATCCTCAATTGGATCATCAACCTTTTAATCCTGAAGAAGAAGATATTATTTTCCAAGGCTCATGACAAATTCGGTAACCAATCGGCTAGGATAGCATCTTTGTTGCCGGGTCGAACCAATGTATATATAAAAAATCATTGGAATTCAACCCTTAAACGAAAACACTCTTCCATGTCGGAAGATTTGACATTTGAAAAGCCTCAACTTCCTTTGAAGAGATCCTCTAGTGTCGGGACAGGTATAAATTTAGGAAGCCCATCTAAATCTCATTTAAGCAATTTGGAATTTTCTAGGTTTCCTCAGTTGTGTCTTTATCCGCCTACTATCCCACCCTGTCAAAAAATGTGCCTCATTCAACATATTCACTAGTAATTCCCTACCCATTTACATCTTTGACTTTGTATGGATCTGATTTGAGCAATCTGAGTATATATAGGTACTCTTGATTGAGCCTTTATCCATACATTGCCTAATTAAGTGAAAAATTCCCTTTTTCATCAGGTTCACCAGTATTGCCTGGTCCATCAACAACTTTGAGTCTCTCTTTACCTGGATTCAAATCTAGCAAGAATTGGAATCCGATAAATCGAATCGAGCAAGAAGATGAAGTGACACTTGTATCAGCATCTGAACCCAATCCATCAAATTTTATGCCCCAAACTTCAATAACTCAGAGTGATAATTCTAGTCTTACAAGTATGGAGAAACAGTTGTTGAGCCCAAATATTTTGACAGTGTTACAAGATGTGATACGAAAAGAAGTAAAAAATTATGTGTCTGAGTTATAGAATGAAAGGGATTAGAGGAACACAGAAGCAACAATGGATGCTACTGCAAACTTTGTTAGCAAAGATTGAGTAAAAGTTGAATAAAGAGAGAAAAATGAAGAAATCGCAGTGGTAATTTTTTATTTATAATTTAATTGTTTTTATTTGTAGTATCTCATTATATTATATTAAAAATGTATGATAAGAGAGAAAACATATCTATATTCATAAGAAGTGTATAAGACCCAATCGCCCCCATCCCACCCCACCCCAACCCAAAAGATTTAGAAAGAGATTAGAAATATTGAATATTCAATTAACTTTTTTCATTAAATTGGTCATTTTTATATCATTTGAAGTGTTGTTGTTCATATGGTGTTTTTTGGTCCTTTTATATTTAAGTTTAACCATTGAGATACGAATCTATGGCATTTGATTATCCATAATTTTATTTGAGGTGGTATAAAAGAGAAAATTTATCTGTGCTTTATTAAATTAATAGATGGTATTATTGTTAGTTTTATAAGGTGATAACTATTTTAAAAAAAACATAATATGTAGAATAACATGATTGGTTGAATAATTTTTATAGTACTCGACACGTGGCCAACAATTTTTAATAGTAATGTATTTAGTGCTATATGAAAATGACATATCGAAATACTAATCATGTTCTAAATGGATTTGGACATTTAAATTCTTTACATATTTGTATAATTGATTATGTGAAAAATGTATTTACGAAGTAGCAGTTGAATGTAGAGAAAAATGACGTCAGGTGTAATTAATAATGTAAGCTTATTCTTGTTTTTAAATATTGTCCAACTTTAACTCAATTTTTTGGAATCTACACTTACAAAATTCGTAACACATTTGAGAACCTTTTTTTCAAAGGAATTAGGACATGTTCTAATATTTAATTGAGACACAAGTATGTTGTGCTGGTCAAGTATCTCTATCAAATAATAAAGAATAAGTTAAGGAAGATTTGATTTGACGAATTCAATCCTATAATATTATATGTGACATGAATTAGAAAAAACAAATATGAATATATGGATATCTATGTGCACATTATCTACTCCTTTTTTCCCCAACATATATGAAGTATGCATGATTATGTAGGAATACATATTTAATTAAGAGATGCACAAAAATTTGAGAAAAAATAAATAAGAAATCTGTCAAGTACTAGTTAGGTTATCCATGAAATTTAAGAATCTAAGATTGTGTATTTTAATAGTGTGATGCAAACCTCTTAATGTCTTAATCATCTTAGCAAATGAAATATAAAGTCTTGTGATATTTTCAAAGAAATATAGTAAATGCTTTATTTGAGTTAGACAACTATCTTAAAAAATTACATAATATCATACTTCAACAAAATGATAGGAAAATATAAAATTTAAGACATTAAACATCCTTCAATTAACAACTCCAATTGTTTGCAGAGAAAGTAGAAAAATATATTGAGACAAACTAAAAGAAATATATCATAAACAAAGTACCGTAAGTATAATGAAATTCTTTGTTTAGTTTTGATTTTACAATAAACTAAATAGTTTTTATTTATTCTTTACAAAAAAAACTCAAGATAATACATTACAAGTAAAAAATGTGTTTGAGAACAACCTATACACTCCATATCAACAACTTCTTTTACGGAAAGTCAATTTACAAGTTAATTTTCTTTTATATTTTTTTGCATGAATTTGATATCTTAATCATAGTTTATAGAGATGTTGCTTTTGATTTGGATATAAATTAATTGAACGTTTCACTTTTAACCTTGTTAAAAAGTGTTGAGAGCACAATAAATATGTTTTACCAATAATTTCTTATATATGAATCATGTTTAAAAAAATTATGGATAATTGTACCTATGTAATTTTTTTAATATGTTCTGAACAAAATAAAATGTTTCACTAATAAAACAAAGAAAAATTATTCAAACTCTTAATTATCTCCATACTTTACCAATTTAGTCTTCTGCACACACAAAAAAAAAGCATAAACAAACATAAGCTAACATAAGCTAACAGTATAAATTAATAGTACATATTATACCATCGATTCACAATTATAATTCATAAATATTAATATATCTAACGTAGGTACATTTGCAAGCATCCTATCTTGGTCCTCAATTGAGAATTTTCCTTGCTCAAGCACGAATTAGGGGACATGTAAATCCTCTATATATTGACAAAATAAAATTAAACTATTTCAAATTTTATTACAATAGTTTTTTTCCCCACCTGTTCTAGGAAATTACATAAAATCCTTATGCAATATTATAGGTTAAGGCTTGTTAATATTTAATGCATAAAAATTAACCTATCAACCTCCTTTGCACATAAAGTACTGATAACATCTATACATATAAAAAATGATGCAAATTGAGATTATATTATGGAATAAAGGTGCAAAATTTATGATTAGATCATGTAAAATAATTTTACATGATCACATTGCTTATAATGTGATAATAAGTAATTCTCTATAATGAATATTAGACGCTAAACCTAAAAAAAATCATCATTAATGTATAGATATTAATCTATCAACCGCCTTTGTACATGATGTATTGATAACATCTATACATACAAGGATTCAAATTTAGATTATCTTATGAAAAAAAAGCGCAAACACCATAAATAGACAATGTAAAATTATTTTACATGATTATGTTGGTTATGGTGTGATAATAGGTGATTCTCTATAATATTAATAAATTGCTAACAAGACAAATTACATAATAACCTATGATGATAATTAAATTTACGGAAGTTTAATATGTCTAAATGTTTATGTGGTTCTAAGGCTTATTAAGAGTATTATATATTGTGTATATTTAAAGAAGAGAGTGCAAATTCATATACGTGCATAAACCTCTTTAAATTTTGTTTGAAATTGTTTATAAGAAAAGTTTATCATGTGCTCAATCGAAATATGTTATTAATTGAACTTTAATATTTTTTAGGTTTGGGAACTTAGGAACTCTGGTAATTCCTTCTAATATATTTGTTTAAATTTACTCCCTCTCTTACTCTTTCTCGGTATATATTCTTTAATGTTTGGTTGATAATTATTAAATTTATTTTCATGCAATTTCTTTACCATTAATTTTGTAGTAGAAAATCCATTCAACACGACAAATAAATCAAATATCTGATGAAACTATTTCAAAGTTACTTATGTCTACTAATTGTTTGAAGTGGATGTGGTTCCACTATATTTGTCGAATCTGCCATGATGATGAGTTCATTATGCCTATCTTCCATCTTATCATAATTACCTAGGAAAGATCATTGTCTTTGACATATGTCGCTTTGTTGTTGCTGCTACTACTACTACTATCTCTTTCTTTTTCAAGACAAACACTGGACTCCAACTGCTACTGATGGCATTTTTGTATTGGTCCCCGTATTTGCAAGATATTTTGAAATAATTCCTTGATCTGTATTAACATGTTCAACCTCCAGCTGAATTGATGGTGTTCTTGTACTCTCTATATCTTCATTAATTCAAACCACTCTTTATCATTCTTTTTCTTCTTGCAAAAAGCCTTTGTTTTCCATTCTTTTGTAGACTACAGCATCATACCATTGTCAATGCTTGCTGCTTGTAATATTCCTGGTAAACTTGGTGAATTTTGTGATTTATCATATTACTTATTCTTTGACAATGGACTGGCCTAGTTGAACATATTGGATTCATTGAGTTTGTTGTTATTACCTTATTGTTTTGTTTTACAATTTCATTTTGTACAATCTTCTTCTTTCAAGAGGGATGGGTTCTATCAAATGTTTACACATATTGTGTTTATTAGAAACCTTAACAATATTAGCATATTGTACATCAGTAGCAAGTTCCTCCTTCTCCAAGCTATCTCTAGGAAAATTCATATGACCAGTAGGCAAGTTAGGTTCTCTAACATCTGGTAAACCGAAATAGCTAGGATTAAACAAAAAACTATGAATAGTTAGTTTTGTAAAAAAAAAATAGAAGAAATCAATAAAAATTCTCAAGTGTAAAAGTAAGTTTTTGGTCATTTTCAAATGGCCATAACTGCTAGATCAGGAGGAGTTAGGGTCAGTTCTTTATATGGTTGCAAAGCCATTGAAGATATATTTCCAACGCTTCCGAGTTTGCGTATATTTGATATGTTATGATCGATATATGTCTATCGGAAGTTGGATATTAGATTGAGGAAAATCCAATCTTGATTTTAGTAAGGGTAAAGTGGACTCTTCACCATACTACTTCCTAATTTGTTTGAAGTGTTTATTGGAGATAAAACTAAGCCTAAAGTCAGTTTTAGAAAATTGAAATACGCTTAGGGTTTGGGAGAAAAGAGAACAGAAGAATGAGAAAGGAAAAAGGGGCATGAATTCATCAAGAAAGATAAGATCTTCAAGCGAAATTTGTCGGAGGTGATCCCTATAACTTATGTGATATATTCTTATGTTGGGGTTCGTTTACCCACACTCCAACATGTTTAATTCAGCGAGTTTTTAATAGATTGGTTGATGAATATTGATGTTCTTGATGAACAATTATTGTATTCTTGTTGGTTGAGTTGTAGCATTATCTAGTTTATTGTATTGGTGTTTGTCAAATGTTTTTCGGGTCTAATCTATTGAGTATTTGGTACGCTCACACTTACTTCTGAAATAAGAAGTAAAACGGTCATATAAAGTAAGGAACCCAACTAATGAGGTTAGGATCGTTCCCACGAGGAAAATAGTTCAGACTTAACTTCATTCTATTATTACTACTATTTAGTCAATTATCCCCTTAAAAAAAAGACAATAAGGGGGGGAGGTTATTTCTAAATTAATGGAAATAATTAGCTAAATCAAAGTAGACAACTAACAGATTCAAATGTTGGAGTTTAATCAATTTATAAAAGTAACTAGGGTTTACGTGTTCCCCACACGTTCCTAATTTGATAATTCTAACTATAACAATTCTTTCCTAGTATCTTGCATGCAAAGTGATAAGTTACGTATTTCTAA